ATCAAGTTCAACTCAAACTCAAAATATAATATTGAAACTTGAACTCAAAAAGGCTTGAACTTAAAAGAAATTTAGAAGCTCGATTGAAGCCTAAAATTCGAGCTTGATTGAAGTGAAAGAATAGTTCACTTAATGCTCATTAAAAGGCTTCATGATTTTGAATGCCAAATTACCTCTATTATTTATAGAAGTTAATTGTGATGATCTTCTATGTTTCTTAGCCATATAGGATTATTTTGTTCTCATATTTTTACTCTTTAGACTTTTGGGATGCTCTTCTAAGTTTCTTAGCCATGTGGGATTGTTTTTAAAAAAATTAAACCAAACAATATCATTTTGTTATGATTTTTTAGCCCCAAATTTATTTTTTAATTATAGTTTTATAATTATATTTATTATTTAATATGTTTTACCTTAAATATTATGTTGTAGTTAATTTGAATCATTTTGTTTCACTTGATTTTATGGTTTTTAACTTATATATGTTATGACTTGCTTTGAATATGACTTGTGATATAAAAAATTATTTTTTATTAAATATTTTTGGTATTTTTATTTAATTTTTTAAATAATTATGACGCCGTCTGGTTCTTCATACCGGTCGGACCGGTTCGCTAACCGATCCGATTCTGAAAACCATGATCATAACCTAACACTAAAACTCAAAAATCAATGAAAGATTGAAATAATGTTAAACCGAACCATTGCATCCTATTGAAACAATCCTAAGAAGCACAAACTCTGCATTAATCCTTTTCGTTGACAATCTCCATCAGAGCTGGATTTTTGTTAAGATCAGTCTTACTTCAACACGGAATAAAATGGCAAGTACCGAAGAAAACAAGACAAAAAAGGTGGAAAACATAAGAAAAATATGATGAATGGGGTGCTTGGAATACTGAAGTTTGAAGCATGCAGCCCTTGGTCGCTACCTCCTCCATTAAGCTTTCAGTCAATTTCTAGAAATTGTTGGACCAGTGCGGGAATCAGTGGAAAATTGGAATACGGAACAGAATATGTTACACTGTTTCGAAAGCAACATCAAATTTGGAAGACCCCAATAAATCATATTCATCAACTTAGGTAGAGTGGTTTAGATATGTAACCCGGTTCAACCTTGGATCAATTGGACTCATTCAGTTGGGCTGAATTTCTGCAATGAAAATATGGCTACGAGATGGCAAGATGCATATGATTCTGAAGCTGCTTCATCTGCCTGATTGTTGTTACCCAACTGATTCTTATTCATTTGGCTTACTGGTTTTTGACATGCATTATCAACCTATCAAAAATGATATTTTATGCAAACAAAATAAATTAAACATGATTTTGATATAATAAAATATAAATTTAATAGTTTTTTATTTCTTTATTTTTGAAAAAAAGAAGGTTAGTGTGATCCATGAGCTTATTTTGCATTCAACATGGCTTTTAAATTGATACGAATGTTATTTTATGTCAAGATTCACAATGTTGACATGATGATTAATAGTAGAAAATGACATGATAGAAGAATTCATTTAATTCTTTTAGAAATTTAGATGGTGTGATTGATAGGTCATCATCCACACTTAGCGGTGTTCAAAATCAGGTACTCAAAATATTGAGTACCTAAAATTTTTGGGTACTAAAATATTGGCTCATGTCTTGACTCATTACTCGTAAGTCAAGTACCCATATTTTTCAGTCACGGGTATCTGATTTATATTTTTTTTATTCTTTCTTTAAATTATATTATTTTTTAAATATAAATATAAATATATATATATATATATAATTTAAAATTTAAAAGTCCATAATACATAATTCACACATAAAGTTTAAAAATTCAAATTACATAACTGAAAGATAAAATTTATTAAAATTTAAAATAAAAAAATATAATTAAATTTAAAATATTTTGAAGTTAAAATAATTTTAAAAATAATTTAGAACGCTAATGTGAAATAATTTAAGAAATTAAAAATTTAGAATGTTATGGTGACAAAATTTAAGAAATTAAAAATTTAGAATATTAAAGTGTAATAATTTAAGAATTATGAACAAAAAATCTAATATAAAATAAAATAAAATTATATAAGAAAACGAGTACCGAGACAATGAGTACTCGGTTAAGCAACATTTTGTGACTCGGTTCCAACCCAAAAGCCTACGAAAAATAGTAGGTCGGATACTCGGCCCATAAAATATAGTATTTTCATTATAAATACCGGCATTTTTAACCGGATTAACGGATGGAGTCATTCGGGTTGGATTTTTTGAACACTCCTATCCACAATTGACTATCATGTTAGTATCGTGAATCATCACTTTAACATTGTTACGGTCAACGATGATTTCCAGTAGTTAAGGATTACACTAATTTTCTTTTTCTCAATTTAAGGGCTATATTAAATGAAAATTAAATTTGGAAGTCAAGTTGATTATTTATCAAAATTTGAGTACCTTGGAAAACTATTACATATATACATATTATCAGGTCTGATCATCATGTTCTGATGCAACTATAAGCCCAAAGTTATACCCAATTGCCTTTTCTTTTCTTTTTATTGCTTAAAATCCTATTTTTCTCAGCTAAATGCCTAAATGCAGTCTCTCAAAGTGTTAAATTACGGAAATGCCCCTAAGGTTAAATCGGGTATCGAACCCAAGCTATATTCTCTCTATACCCTTCCATTTTCTTTAATACCCTAGTTCCCTTATTTCCTCGTCAAAATGCCGCCCAAGTTTGATCCGACCCAAGTCGTTTACGTCTTCGCACGCATCACCGGCTGCGAAGTCGGAGTAGCTAGTTCCCTCGCTCCCTCTGGCGGATGCATGTTGAATTCCCACCTGAAACTCGAATTTTTTTACGTTAGTTGTTCATTTTATTAAAGGTGTACACTCCAAATTTTATTTGTGCCCTTGAAATTCGAATTTCTTTATGTTAGTTGTAAATATGCCCATCCTGAAATTTTATTTGTGCTCATCCTATATGAAAATTTTTTATTCGGAGTAGCTAGTTCCCTCGCTCCCTCTGGCGGATGCATGTTGAATTCCACCTGAAACTCGAATTTTTTTACGTTAGTTGTTCATTTTTTAAAGGTGTACACTCCAAATTTTATTTGTGCCCTTGAAATTCGAATTTCTTTATGTTAGTTGTAATATGCCCATCCTGAAATTTTATTTGTGCTCATGCTATATGAAAATTTTTTATTAAAAAAATTCGTCGTTACTTGCTCCTAAGATAGACCCACTCGGTCTCTCTCCCAAGAAGGTCGGAATATCGTCAAAGAAACCGCCAAGTATTGGAAGGGTCTTCGTGTTACCGTCAAGTTTACTGTCAAAAACCGTCAGGAGAAGGTCACAATGGCTTAATTAATTCTATAATTTGACACTTTAAGTTAGAGGGAAACCTTAATTAATTCGCTTAGTATAATTAGGCATAATAACAACTGATTGATTTCATCACTTGATTTCAAATACAAGACAATGCTCATTTATTAGGGGGTTAATGGTGTATCTCCCGCGTTATGCCTTAAAGGTGACTACTGGTAATTCTCGAAATAAATCAACATCTTTTTGAAAACCATGCATCATGATTTCTAAACATATTTTATTGGGATCGATAATAAAGCTTCCACTAGTGTCGAGGTGATCGTTATTTGTTTTTATAAATCAACACCCTTTTTAACATTTACATACATAATAAATTTTTGATTAAATAAAACATCGACTCAAAATTTCTAATTTTAAAATATAGGGTAATCAATTAGGTACCAATTTTTTGGCATTGTGGGGTGCTAATCCTTCCCTACTCCCAAATTCGATTTCTAGTTTTTGCAAACCAAAATTTGGTATTTTTGATAAATTAAAAATGTTTTATTAAAATTACCTGATTTTAGATGTTCCAATCGCATCTTAAAAATGATTCGTGGCGACTCTCATCTTTTCATCCCAACGCTTTTAAAAAAACTCATCATCATAACTAGTCGATTTTTCGCCATGAAGATCCGATTACGACATCGTGAAAAATGATATAATTTAGACTCTTATCTTCGTATTAAGTTTTTTTTTGAGAAAATCGCCTCAGTGACCAAAAATGCCTTATAATATACGATTTTAACCAACTTTTTTTTGGATTTGCCAAAATGACCAACAAAATCGCAATGCGATCTCTAATTCGCAACGCGATTTTCAGTATCGCAAATTCGCGTTGCATTTCGCGTTGCATTTCGCGTTGCGATAGTCTACAGTGTCGTTGCGATAGTCTACAGTGTCGTTGCGATTTTCCATTTCGCGTTGCGATAGTCTACAGTGTCGTTGCGATTTTCCATTTCGCGTTGCGATAGTGTACAGTCATTGCGATCGTTGCGATTTTCCATTTCGCGTTGCGATAGTTGAAAATCGTGTTGCGATAGTGTACAGTGTCATTGCGATTTTCCATCTCGCATTGCGATAGTGTACAGTGTCGTTGCGATTTTCCATTTCGCGTTGTGATAGTCTACAGTGTCGTTGCGATTTTCCAAATTCGTTGCGATAGTCTATAGTAAATTAAAAAAAGATTTTGTTTCTTAAGAATTTTCTCTAAAAGATAGTATCGCGCAGACGGTCGAAGACCGTAGTATTACACGACGACCACGACCACGACCACGACCACGACGACACGACACCACGACCACGACCACGACCACGACCACGACCCAAGACCACGACCACGACCCGACCCGACCCGACCCGACTCGACACGACACGACCCGACCCGACCCGACCCGACACGACACGAGACGGCGGCGGCGGCGGCGCGCGAGAGTCCTCCTTGTTCTCTTTCACTCAACAAGGAAATGCGAAATCCAAGCCTTAAATACACTTCCCAATAGTGTTTCCAATACTATGTGGGATTGAGCATTACTCAACACTCAAAGAAAATATAGCAATTTTTGTAACATGTTCCCACTTAATCACATATCTAAAACATTTTATCATTTTATCAAGAGAATTAAAAGAGTTGTAGATATCTACATTTCAATTCAAACTTATACATATAGTTTTAATATGATAAAATGTTTTAATATTTTTAGATATGGATTAAGTAGGAAACATGCTACAAAAATTACTATATTTTCTTTGAAGTGTTGAGTAATGCTCAATCCCACATAGTATTGGAAACACTATATGGAAGTGTATTTAAGGCTTGGATTTCTCATTTCCTTGTTGAGTGAAAGAGAACAAGGGGGACTCTCGCGTGCCGCCGCCGCCGTCTCGTCTCGTCTCGTCTCGGGTCGTGGTCGTGGTCGTGGTAATACGTGTGTTCGACACGTCCGCGCGGATACTATCTTTTTAGAGAAAATTATCGTAACGACACTGTACACTATCGCAACGCGATTTTCAACTATCGCAACGCGAAATGGAAAATCGCAACGACACTGTAGACTATCGCAACGCGAAAAGGAAAATCGTAACGCGATTTTCAACTATCGCAACGCGAAATAGAAAATCGCAATGCGATTTTCAACTATCGCAACGCGAAATGCAGCGCGAATTTGCGATACTGGATATCGCGTTGCGAATTAGAGATCACATTGCGATTTTGTTGGTCATTTTGGCAAATCCAAAAAAATTGGTTAAAATCGTATATTATAAGACATTTTTTGTCACTGAGACGATTTTCTCTTTTTTTTTTGAAAAATGCATTTGGGCATGGGTTTCCTGTTTGAGTTTAGGGATGTGACAAACTGACTTGATCAGTAAAACTGACTTAAATCGACTCGAGTCAAAACTGTTTGTGACTTAACCGGTAGTGATTCGAAACCGACTCGACTCTGAACTAATGTTGACCTAAACCTGAGTTGGAACTAGAAATTATGGATCTGAATCCGATCTGCACTCGATCTGAGAATGACTTGAACCCAACTTGAACCGATAATATGATAACCGAACCCGACCTACATCCGATTGATATGAACTCGAATCCAAGATTAACCTGGTAAATAACTGGTATTACCTGACCTGTTATCAACCTGACTTGATATGAGTCTGACTTGTAATTGACTTAACCTGTAAATAATCTGACTTGTTATTGACCTAATTTGATATTTACCTGACTTGGTATTTACCTTACTTATAAGTTATAATTAATGAAGTCGTGAGATTTTGAATTTATAATAAACTATGATAATTAACATTATTACTTTTAAAAGTTAAAACAAATTGTTAGTTATGATAATTAAATTAATAAATTTATTTTCTATATTAATTATAACCCTTATATTATAAATTTTAACTATAACCATTAAATTAATTTCATTAAACGATTTATTTATTGAATGTGATTTTTTTAGATTATATAAAACTAATTTAAGTATTCATAGGTTTAATTTATTTTTCATGTAATAATTAATTAATAAGTTAAATATAATATAATTTAACATAAAATTTTAAAATATAATATAAGATGAAATTATTTGAGATTAAAAATTCATATATATATTAAAAATTCATATATATATATATATAATATTCAAATTGAATGGTTGGAAAAAACTTTTTAAAATAATTTTTTTTTTGTGTGGAAAATTTTGATTGTATTTGGGAATTTAGAGGAAAATTGAAAAATTTTGAGAATAGAGGGAAATTGGGGAATTTTAGGACTAGAGGAAAATTGAAAAATTTAGAGAGAATAGAGAAATTTGGGAAGTTGGCGCCAATGGTAGTGTCCAACAATATATTTTGAGTTAATGAGGTCCATGCTCCTCCAACAATCATTAATTTTCCACTTTGTAAATTGATTTTTGATTTATTTCATTTTAAATCATGGTTTAATTGTAAATTTCTTCTTGAATTTTCTATTCGACGCAGGTTAATCCCGTATACATTCTAATTACTTTTAATTTTTCTTTCTCTCTTTCATGTGCATAATTATTAAATGTAAATGTTAATTTTATAATATTTTATTTTAGTCACTCATGTTTAATTATATATATATACACTCGTGTGCATACATCACATACATATACTTACATATACATATATATTATACTTATATATATACTTATATATTTATACTTATGTATGTACTATTATATATATACTTTATATATATTTCTATATACTTATATATATAATAAACTAATGCATAATATATATTTATATATATACTTATGCATATATATATAGTATACATATCAATAAGTATATATAAAAATGACCTGACCTTAAGTCAATATGTATCCGAATAAAATTTGACATGAATTTTGTCTATCAATGATGTGACCCGATCTGAACGAGATCAGAATAAAGTCCATCCGAACCTGAATTAACATGGTATTTAACTGTTTTGGACATGAACTGTTTTGACGTGAACTAACATCGATCTGAACTGAAATTAACTCGAACTGAACCTGATGCCAAACAAGCTGAAAATGACCAGAACTGATTTGAACTGGACCCGATCTAATTCAAATCGAACCATCAAATTAACATGACGATTTCATTAAAATCTGAACGATTACCTGGTTTTACATCATATTTAAATTGGATGTGATATAAGAAGCATTGCACATGATTAGAGAATTGCTCCAACTCAGAAATCTCTTTCCTCAAATAAGAGCTAATGCCGAAGCCCATATTACAATTTCATTGATAATATATATGTTTAATTATAACATCTCTCCAATCTCTTTGGAATTTAGACAAAATTTCCATTTTAGAAAAAGAAATATTATTGATAGGAAAAAGTCTTAAACATCATCAAAAGTTAGGATATAGCATTACATTAAATAAATTATATTTCTTTTTTAAAAAAAGTTTTTGATGAAATAAGTTTTTATACTGATGCTTGGAATATAAATTCAGAGTGAAAACGTTGCTGAAATGTCGTAGCCACCGTCCATCCGATGCGTCACCAATAGAATCAACCGGAGAAAAAAAAGATTTCGTAATGGAGACACGTGGTGTATTTCCAACCATGACTCAAATTCAAGAAAGCTACATCAAAGTTGGGCCACGAGAACGACCAAAAGCAGTTTGATAAAATAATAATTATTAGAAAATCATTATATATATAATCATAAGTGTACAACGATTATGAAGTTACGAGGCTAACGGTTGAGAATATATAAATATATATGTAAAATTGAGGTGGCGTGGTCGGTGGTCCATTCATACAATAATGTCAGCATTTTATAAATATATAAAAATACAAATTATAATATTGGTCAGTATTATTGTTAGTCTAATTGATCGGTCTCGTTAAATTGTTAATTTGTGAATTTCATGTAATATTGTTTTAATCAAATTATACAGTATCTTCCTTACATTTATCAATCTTATTATGAAAATCATTGGCTTCTTAGCTTATTTTTGAATAATTAAATGAGCAATTCCTTGATGTTCCAGTTACTTCTCAAATTAGTATATAGTAGTATCTCATTCCAATCCAAAAGAAAAAAAATATCATTATTTTAGCTAGTATATATAATTTTTTAGTTTAAGCAATTGTCTCTTGAATCGTTATATCATTTTTCTCTAAAAAAAATATATATGAAATTTTCTTAATATCAACTCTTTCAAAAATTATATATGGAATTGCTCCAACTCAGAAATCTTCGGAACTTTTGTTCTCTGAAATTTAAATCGTTATCTCATTTTTTTCAGATTGTTAAATCTGTTAAAAATATGAGGATTAATTACATATTTAGTCATTTAACTACTCATGTGATTCTTTTTTGTCAGCCAACTATATTTTTTCGCTCAAAATGACCACTAACTTAAGTTTATAAAAATTTAAGTTTAATGATGATTTTAGGGGAAAAATAATTGAATGAACAAAACGGAACCGTAAAAATAGTTGAGTGCCTAAATATATAAATTACCCCTTTTTTAATATAATTTACTATTAATTTTTCTGTTGATATTAAGTTTAAATTCGATATCTATCATAAAATTATCTATGAAACTGTGAAGAAAATGAAATAAAACACTGTAGGAAAGAAAATTATTTTTATTAAATTAAGTTGATTACAAAATAATATCTGTTCTAAATACTCTCACTTATTTGACAATAAACGCTCAATCACTCTATTATAATTACTGATGTTTAAACCTATAATATCTAAAAATAATAATAATTTTTTAACCATTAAAATAAATAGGTTCGTACATAGAAAAAAAATAGAAAGCAAATAAAGGGAACGATGAAAATGAAACTGGGTGATATAAAATCAGAACCATCAATGATTAAAGAATTAGCACAAAACATGAACCACATATATATTTGGAAGAATTAAAATTGGCCTTTGGCTACATTCAGAGCACAAGTTTATCCTGCACAGCCGTCATCAGTTTTGCTTCATTTAATAATCAAGGAATCTGACCTAGTATAATATTAAATAACAATAATCTTTTACATTATTTAATTTCCCTTTTAGTAATTTTGTATTGTCTAAGCAAAAAGAAGCATGGATTAATAAATTAAAGAGAAAGGCAGTATCCTGGTGAAATTAATGTAAGGCAGTTGCAATAATTCTTTTGGTGGAATTAAATATCTTTTGTTTTCCAGCGACTTGTTGGTGTTGTTTAGCTAAAAAGCTCTACACGTAGAGAATCTGTATTGTTATTTTATAAGGGGTAATCCCACAAGACATCACTAGGGTATGTGCAAGTCTTAAATTGGTCCCTGTATTTTAGAATGTTTAGATTATATTTTGTTTAATTAATTATTTCTATCTGCTTCAGCGCGGATGAATTGCTTTACTTTTGTGATCTTTAAAGGCTTATATGCACTATTATCCACTAATTTATACACTTTTTATTAAGTTGTCATTTAAAATATTTTTTTGAAATATTTTGTCATTTGAAATTTAAATCATTATCTCATTTTTTCTCAAAATGTTAAATCCGTTAAAAATACAAGGATAAATTACACATTTAGTAATTTAACTACTCATGTGGTTCTGTTTTGGTCACCAAGCTTTTTTTTTCCAAAATGACCACTAAATTAAATTTTTGAAAAATTAAGTTTAATAATGATTTTGAAAAAAAAAATAATTGAAATACCAAAAGAGAAATGTGAAAATAGTTGATTGTCTAAATATGTAATTTACCCTTTTTATTTTTAACGAAATTACTGTTTGTGACAAAAGAGGTAATAATTTAAATTTTAGGAGATAAAATGTCTCTGAAAATATTTTAAGGGGCAATACTGTATAAATAAAAATTATTTAAAAATTTAAAAATCGAATCAAATGGCCAAGGACATCGAGACGACGGCGGAGCAAGGCGGAGGCGAATTCTCAGCCAAGGACTACCATGACCCACCACCGGCACCACTGCTCGACTTCGATGAACTCTCCAAATGGTCGTTTTACAGGGCCTGTATTGCCGAGTTCATTGCCACCCTTCTTTTCTTGTATGTTACGGTGTTGACCGTGATTGGCCATAAAGTCCAAACCGACCCGGCCAAGAATACCGTTGACCCTGACTGTGGTAGCGTTGGCATTCTAGGTATCGCTTGGGCCTTTGGCGGCATGATCTTTATCCTTGTTTACTGCACCGCCGGTATCTCAGGTGAGTGCACCATATTAATGCAAAATCTATAAAGCGGTTCGGTTTTGTCATCCCAACTAAAATAACTGTAAAACCTACTACAGGAGGACACATAAACCCGGCGGTGACGTTCGGACTTTTCTTAGGGCGAAAGGTATCGCTGATCCGAGCCATCATGTATATGGTGGCTCAGTGCTTAGGTGCAATCTGCGGCTGTGGGTTGGTCAAGGCTTTCCAGAAGACTTACTACAACAACTACGGCGGTGGTGCCAACGAGCTCCAACCAGGCTTCAACAAGGGCACTGGCTTGGGCGCTGAAATCATCGGCACCTTTGTTCTCGTCTACACCGTGTTCTCCGCCACTGATCCCAAGAGGAGCGCAAGGGACTCCCATGTTCCAGTATGTACTCTGTCCTCAACCCTCTTTAATCTATTTATGATAATCTTATATAATTTTATCTGTTCATACGAGTGAACAAAATTCAACTTTAAAAAAATAAAATTCTTGATTTTATAGTAAAAAATTCCACTTTATTTGATTTGATTCAATTTGAAAAATTTTAAATTTGAATTGAGTTATAAAATAAAACTTAAATAATTTAAATATTTTAATAATTAATTGATTGGTTTTTAAGCTAGAATCAATTTTTTTAACTTATATATGAAAAAATATATATGTATATCGTATATAATTGTAGAAATTCGTTTAAATTGAAATCGAATAATACCATAGTATTATAAATATTTACAATTAAATTAAATTAAATTAAAAACTCAAACAACTTAACTAATAAAAATTATAATAAAATTTAAGTTATAATATAATATCAATCTAATTTTTTTAAATTCTTATATTTAATTTAATTTGATCAAATACTTACCCTCATTATTTGAATTATAAAATAAAAGTTGCAAATCTAATTATTTTAAACTTCTTTTACTTAATATTGAATACTCACCCTCGTCAGTGAGGAATTATTGCAGTGGTTCAATAGATTGTCCATATATAGACTTTACTAGTAATTTTCCACTTGTGTTAGTGGGAAGTTTGATGGGTAGAAGTGTAGGAGGGTAGTTAATTTGCCAACCTTTTGAAACTCTTTAATAACCAATAAAAATCAAATATTTAGGTGTTGGCACCACTCCCCATTGGATTCGCCGTGTTCATGGTCCACCTCGCCACAATTCCGGTCACCGGCACCGGTATCAACCCCGCAAGGAGCTTTGGAGCTGCTGTGATTTACAACAAAGAAAAGGCCTGGGATGATCAAGTAAACTACTCACTATTCTAAGAAAAATATAAATAAACAGAGTTTTCATATATAATTCACGTGTTGGTTTATTTTTTGCAGTGGATGTTCTGGGTTGGACCCTTCATCGGAGCCGCCGTGGCTGCCTTTTACCACCAATTCATCTTAAGAGCAGCAGCCATTAAAGCCCTTGGATCTTTCAGGAGCAATAATTAAAATTCACCTCAATTTTTATTACAACAAAAACAATGGTCTATGGGGATGCAATAAGAAATGAAGATGAGTTCATGTTTGTGTCGGGGGAGGGTTCCCTTTTGCAGTTTATGTCTCTGGTTTGAAGAGCGGGGGAGCCGATGAACTGTAAATAAGAAAATATATATGGATGAGTCTTATCAATCCCTGTTTGGTTTTTAATGTAATTTGTAATTTTGTGTTGTCATCTTTGTTTTATCCTTATCGTTTCCATTTTTCTTTTCTCTTTTTTTTTAAAGTAAAAATGCAGTGTTTTCTTTTTCATGCACAAAATATTGTTTAGTCTCAACCACTATCCTTCTGTCATCGGCCTATATTTGTATCGACTTACAACTCAAGCTAATCATGCTATAAAAATATAGCTTACCTAACCGCTTCAAATCACTTAAACTTCCCTAAGCTTCATCAATTATGACTTATAATTAGGATGGTCATATTTTAGATTAGATCGAGCTTTTACTGCAGCCAAATTTTTGAAAATTAAATTCATTTATACACTCGATCCGAAGTTAGAAGACTATTTAATTTAAAATTTTATTCAATCTTAAGATAAAAATTCGGACTTAACTCAACTCAAATATATATATATAATTTTTATTTTCATCAGATAAAATGAGAATCTAGTTGAAAAAAATAATATAGAGTTATTATTATAATTATTCTTAAATATATACATATTTATTATATTATTTAAAGTATTTTCACCATAAATATAAACTATTTCTTCAAAAAAAATCCTATTCGAGCTTATATTTTTAAACTATCTTAATAACTCTACTTATAAATCAACTTATTTGATAATATTAACTATTTGAGTTAATTTATGATATTATAAAAGGAAGAAAATCAAATTATATAAAATTAAATTATAAAAATCAATTTTCAAATCTAATATAGTGTAAGAACCAAAACCATAAATTAATCTCAATTTACCGCTTAACTAACAAGTTGGTTCTAGCTTTTGTAATTTGAAACCCTAAAACAAATATCAGCACGTAAACTAGTACTCGACAAGGATGTCTTTAAAGAGATTAGATGAGTTGGCTTCGGTGGGAGTGGTTCCTGGAAATAAAATAATGTATTTGATTCTTTAACTATTAAATTAGCATATAATTATTTGGTAATGACAAAAATGATGTAATGCAGGTGCAAGGTCGTATAAGATTAGAGATGGTGGGTTAATTTACATTATCTTGTCCTTAATTTATGTATCCCTTTTTGTCATTTTCAGGGCAAAGCAGGTGAGTGTTTAGCTCTTTGATGATGAAAAATTTGGCTATAAATTACAAAGAATTAGATGAGCTTTTGCTGTCACTATTAGAAGGGATGGATCGACGTTTGGATGATTGCATTTTCTATAAATTTGAATCTTTTTATATAATATAAATATGTTTATTAAAAATTTAATTTAATTTTCTAAAATTTTGTAATATTTCACTTTGAAATTTTATAAATACTTATATTATTCCTATAAATTCTTACATCTATATCTTTAAATAAAAATACAAAATATTCCAGTTTCATAGTGTTGAAATCACGACCTTGGAGCAAAATACATAAACCACTGATTAATTTGATGACGTCTTGGATCGGTTTTAGAAAAACTTATGTGGTTATTATGCAGTATTTTGTTTTTTTAAGAAAGAGAAAATAATCTCAGTGACAAAAAATACCTTATAATATACGATTTTAATTTTTTTTGGATTTGCCAAAATGACCAACAAAATCGCAATGCGAAATACAAATCGCAACGCGATCTCCAGAATCGCAAATCAGTTACCAGAATCGCAACGCGATTATTAAGAATCGCAATGCGATAGTACAAATTCGCATTGCGATTTTCCATAATCGCAACGCGAATATGAAAATCGCAACGCGAATATATAAATCGCAACGCGATTCTGACTATCGCAACGAGTATCTGTAAATCGCAACGACAATACGTAAAATCGCAACGCGTATCCGTAAATCGCAACGAGAATACGTAAATCGCAAAGCGTATCTGTAAATCGCAACGAGAATACGTAAATTGCAATGCGTATCCGTAAATTGCAATACGTAAAATCGCAACGCGTATCCGTAAATCGCAATGCGATTTTTAAAGCGCCATTACAATCGCGACGCGTATTTTATTTTCAAATTCCAAACACGAATATTAAGAGAAAATAACCTCAGTGACCAAAAATGCCTTATAATATACGATTTTAACCAACTTTTTTTGGATTTACCAAAATGACCAACAAAATCGCAATGCGAAATACAAATCGCAACGCGATCTCCAGAATTGCAAATCAGTTACCAGAATCGCAACGCGATTATTAAGAATCGCAATGCGATAGTACAAATTCGCATTGCGATTTTCCATAATCGCAACGCGAATATGAAAATCGCAACGCGGACATATAAATCGCAACGCGATTCTGACTATCGCAACGAGTATCCGTAAATCGCAATGACAATACGTAAAATCGTAACGCGTATCCGTAAATCGCAACAAGAATACGTAAATCGCAACGCGTATCTGTAAATCTCAACGAGAATACGTAAATCGCAATGCGTATCCGTAAATCGCAATACGTAAAATCGCAATGCGTATCCGTAAATCGCAACATGATTTTTAAAGCGCCATTACAATCGCGACACGTATTTTATTTTCAAATTCCAAACACGAATATTAATTATCGGAACACTGAACCGTCCACAGTATATCCCGTAATCGCAACTCATAACCTAAAACCTAAAATCACAACTCAGTCCCATCTCCATCTCTCACTCTCTACGGTGAAATCCGTCCCCATCTCCGAAGATTTCCGTCCCCATCTCCGGCGAAATCCCTCACAACTATTCACGGTCAGAAATCCCTCACAATCATTCAGAAATGGAAAATCAACCTCCGAGGGTTAGATTTTTTAATTATTTTTATTTTGAAATTTTTGCATTATTTTAGGTTTTTCATATTGAAATTGATGATAAGTTTACTGGTAATTTCAATAATAGATTAACCATTTCACTTAGATTTCTTATTAAATTTATTCGATTGCTGCCAATACTGCTAAACTGTTTAGTCTTTAACCCTGTGAAGTTAGTATTTGTCTTTGTTTTGTCTTTTGGTTGAAGTAATGCAATCCATTAAAGTTTCAATTTGCAGAAGAAGAATAGTTTCTAAACTTAAAATCGCAACATGAAAATGAAAATCGCAACACGAAAATGACTATCGCAACGAGAAATGAAAATCGCAACGCGAAACCAAAATCGCATTGCGATTTTCATTTCGCGTTGCGATTTTAATTTCGCGTTGCGATTATCTCGTTGCGATTTTCATTTCGCGTTGCGATTCTCTCGTTGCGATAGTTATTTCCACGTTGCGATAGTCATTCTCTCGTTGCGATTTTCATTTCAACCAAAAGACAAAACAATGTTGCAAATTTTAGTTTCAAGAATAAACTACTACTCTTTATGTTTATTGTTTTTTGTATATCTTCACAGTGTAGTTTTTGGTATATCTAACTTGGTATGTTTATTGTTTTTGTAGAAATTTTTTTCGGCTTCATTGACATTAAGGAATAAAGTTAGCCTAGCCACTACAATTGCTTCGAAGCTTTCACCTGCACGAAGAAAATTGTTTGAGGAAACCTGCTTCGGGCCATGGCTGAGAGTACAACATCCGGGTGGAGATGCTAATTTGACCTATTTGTGGCTTCAGACCATGACTAGCGATCTATCCGACAGTATACAACGTGGTGAGGAAGAGATATGGTTTCATTTTCCACCGGCGTATACTTGTTTTGGGCGGAAGGAGTTCTGCTTAATCACTGGTCTACGATTCGGACACGATGATGTAGGCCGGTACACTCGTCATATCACCCGCCCATCATGGTTATCCCGGGTTTTTCCTGATGAGTCAATAGAGAAGCCGAACTTACACGTCGAAGACCTGAAGAAATTGTTTAATAAGAAAGATGGTTTTACTCGGATGAATGACGTCGATGTTGTCCGAGTATGCCTTCTAGTACTTTTGTATGCCGGCTTTTTAGGCAGAGAGGCCAGACAACCTATTCCTCAGGAGCTAATATTATTGGTAGAGGACCTAAATGCATGGAATCTGTTTCCGTGGGGTTCATATATATGGAAAGCTACCTGGACTAAGTTGTCGACTGCCTTTGATGACCGTAAAAGTTTGCGTGGCGATGGGTCGAAATACACTTTGTCAGGCTTTGTTTGGGCCTTTAAGGTAAGAATTTCTATATAATGTTTTCAAAATTATAATTAATTATTTAACAATTACTAATGTTTGTTATTATATTGTTTGTAGATTTGGATATTCGAGGCTTTCCCCAGCATGCGGACGTATGCATTAAAAACTTCAAATGATATTCTTAGGGCTATTTCCTGGAAGAGGAAATGTCTGTTGGATTGGGAAGACTTAATACCATATGCGACAATAAATAATGTAAGTTAACACAAATACTATCATATATAAACAAGTTATTAATAGTAGACGTTTAACTTTGTTTGAGTTTTTATATTTTTAGGAGGCCAACACTCTATTACAGAGACTGACACCCACGGAGGCTGAGCTTGCCACTGATTGGTGGCAAGCTAGTCAGCGTTTTTTTGATGGCACGAATGATGAGCAGCCTCCACTTCCTCCACTTCGAGAGCCATCACCTCACCTAGAGCCATCACCTGATCGACCCGACTATACACCTCTACAACGAGAGCCATCACCTATCCCGTCACATCATCGAGCCTCTTCTCCACCATCACCTCATGATAGGCGACTGGCAAAGATGCCACGACTTCTATCTCACTGTTCTCCACCTCCACCTCCACCTCCACGGGATGAGTCAAGGGAGTTACGTGATGAGGTCAATGCCTTGCGTGAGGAGATCGGTACTCTACGCGATAACGATGGTGCATGGCGTGTGGAGGTGTCTACT